GCCTCTCCTCTTTTTTTTTTTTCTTTTCTTTTTTTACAGCTCTTTCTTCTTCCTCCTGCTCCCCGAAAACAGTATCTCCCTCAAGTATAGAGCATCCTGCTCTCACTACCTCCACATCAGTCCCCACTCAGGCATCTCCCGAAGAGAGAGCTGCTAAGGAAGAGAGAGCCACCTCCCCTCCCCACAGAGGCGCCAGCCCTCGGCAGTGAGTACAGCTGCTGGTCCAGGCCCAGAGCTGCTTCCTGCTGCCAGCAGCGGTCACCTCCACGTGTGAGGCCTGGTGTGAGCTGGTGCAGCCGGAGCTCTGCAACCCTCCAGGCTCTTCTCACCTGCCTCTAAGGGTTCAGATCTCCTGCTTTTGCCTTTAGAGACAAACATGGCTATCAGCCGCCTGCCCTGCATCTCAGCACCTCTGATGGGCTGGCCCCACCAAAACCCTATCTACCCACTGCATCGCTTGCAGCTTAAGCACGGTGCAGGATATGGCCAAGGAAGAAGTAGTTTCTGGCTGCAGCAGTGGTGCTACTTCCTGTGGTGCTGAGCGGGGCCCTCTTCTGCTTCGTAGTTCACATGTGTGATTGACAAAATGTGGCAGAACTTCCCTTGCCTGCCCTGCTGCTAGAGGTGATGCAAGAGGAGGAGAACAGCCAAGGCTTCTCAGCAGCTTGTTCACGCAGTAGCTGGCTTCCCAGGACTAGTGACACATTGGCTTTGTCTGGTTGCCCATTACAAGGAAGGTCAACAAATAGTGGAGCTGAACCAGAGACAGATCAGACAGCGATCCCTAAAATCTTTAAGACGCAGCAGCTCTCAGAACCGAAGTTCTGTTCGTTCCGACTGTGTTTGCTTTAGTTTGTTCTGTCTGCAGCTTGCAGACAGAAAACCACCAAGCCTTGGTTTTGAGGCATTAGGTCGAGCAGGAGCAATCGTCTGTGCCTGCTCCATGGTAGTTACTCCTGAGTTTGTTACTGAAGAAGAGTAAGAGCAGACATTTTTTTTCTTGCAGCTTGGACCTGGTCACGGAAGTCCTGATTCCATGCATCGTGGTGGTTCTTCTTTTGCTTGTACTTGGTGCTGGAGCGTTGGTTAAACTGTCCAGGAAGAGGAAGAAATGCAAGTGAAACAGCATCACTCTCAGACAGTGTTTCTGTGCTGGCGTCTGGCTTTCACTCTATTTATCTTTTTTCTCCATTCCCTCTTTGATCTACCCAATTCTTGACCTCCATTGGGTGACTTCTCTGCCTTTTTCACCTTGTGACCAAGTGGAGAAGAGCTGGGAGGGCTTCTTAACTGGAGAGAGCAGTGGGACAGTCGGGCAGGTCCTGCTGCCCATGGCAGAGGCTCTGGCGCATCTGCAGAGGGCCACCGATACGCTCTGGGGAAGGGCAAATGACAGGATCAATACGGCCCAGCACAGCACCCACTTATAGACCGGCCGAGCTGATCTGCGTGCTGCAGGCTTGCCCAGATGTGCTGTTTTACTGGCCAGGCTTGCAGGTGCTCAGATGCAAAGTTTGAGGCCAGCACAAAGGATGAGGGAGAAGACCAGAGATAGTTACCTGCCAGCAGATGGGATCTGGTTTTATTTAAAGAACAGCTTTGGTTTAGATGAGTAACAGAGCAGCAGGTTCCCCTCCAGCTCCATGGTGGGATTTCCAGTGACTGCGCAGTTTTGACGCATTTCTGAGCTTGCGGTTTGCCCTTGTGTCTAACCACGTCCGTGTTTCCCCCAGCCCTTGCAGGAGCACCCGTAGAGATGGGCATGACCTGCAGCGCCTCGAGCACGGTAAGGAAGGCCACCGCGCGTCCTGGGGTCTCTTGCTCAGAGTTGTCCTGCAACGGGGAGAGGCTGCAGACGGAGCTGAGCAAACACACGCGGAAGCCGTTGGCTTCAGCTTCATGGCTTTTACATCAGGAGGGATCCTTAGGGGTCAGTTTGCCAGGATAAATAACCTGCGCAGTGTTTTTGTGCGACTATTGCAGAATATTCCTGGGAAGGGAATTTGGGGTTGAGCTGGGAAGTTTCTCCCCTAGTTCCTCGGAGCTGGGGACCTGCTTCCCTGGGCAAAACAGGCTTGGGAAACCTGCAGCAAATCGCACGTGAAGAAGCCGCAGGTTAATTTTCTGTCAATGGTCCTGCAGCCATCTCAGCTCTGATGATGAAATTAAATGGGAGGCGAGGGGTTGCTGTCCCGCCTGGGCTGCGGGCGGTGGGCGAGCAGTAGGTTAAGAGCGCACATGGACTGCAAAACTGCGGAGTTTTATCTTCTGACCGCAAAGACACGGCACTAGGATCCCTGGCGACGAGGGAGTTGCACCAGACCAAATCAGACGCTTTTGGGGCGAAAGCAGCTTCCAGGTGGTCTGAAAGGCGAGAGCCTGAGGCTCGGCTCTCGGGGTGAATCCAGTAAAGCGGGTGTCGTGTGCGACGCTGCCGCAGGGTGCTCTCCCCGCCTAGCAAAGCTGATGTCAATCTGGTTTTCTTGCCCACAAGCTGCAGTTCCCAAGAAGCAGCCTCAGTTACCGCGACTGAAACAAGTTTCTCATTTTTAACAACCTGTGCGTGACACACCTGCAGTTTTTACCCATCGTCTACAGGTTTTGCACAGAAAGCACCGATTTCTAGCCAAGCTCGTCTGGACGGTGTCCTCAGGGTAGCTCGTGCTGAGTGCCTCCCGTTCGTATTTCAGGGGACCAGCCTGCATTATGCTGACATTAATCACCCTGCAGCCCCAGACAACGGCGAGCTGTACAGCAACGTCAAGGCTTTCCTCAGCCTGGCGAACGCCGAGACCAGCTACGCAGAGATCAATCCATGCTGCCAGGTGGGAAACGCAGCGCGGCACCGAGCGCGGGACGGGGACGGGGCTCAGGTGCCTGGGACACGCACCCGCAATCGTGTCACCGGGGCCCTGGGCACGGGAGGGACGCGGGGAGGCCGGCGGTGTGGGAAAAGGGCTGCACTTAGGAGCAGGATGGGTGGGGTGGGTAAGGAGGGGGTTTCCACGGGGAAGTGCCTGCACTGTACCCCGGAGGAACACGGGAGAATGACCCCAGGTAACACGGGTGCTCTTGTGCTTCCCGGTCCCTTTGGCTGTTCCTTGCAGCAGCGTGAGAAAGGACGCTCCTTACAGTGGCCGAGAGAGGTTTTGGCAGGCAGCGTGGAGGGGGGCACTTCCTTCGAGAAACCCTGCAAGCTCAGAGCTCTTCAGCTAGAGGAACTAGGGCTCCACTTCGAGTTCGTGGTTTCCAGAGAACGAGGCTTTTTGTTTTGTTTTGTTTTCTTCTCGGAATTTGATAAAGGAGAAAGAGGCTCTTTGTACCACCGTAAGTGCATCCCCCCCGGAGCAGCAGGACCTCTACGCCAACGTGGCGCCGGCCCCGCGTCCTGCAGAGCCGCTCTGCAGCACCGTGGAGAAGCCTTGAGACCCGCCACCGGACCGCTCTCTCCGCCGGCGGCCGGCGCGGCGGTCGTGGCCGGCCCCCCGGGCCGC